GCGTTTTATCATTGCAGACCTAGTAGCTTCCCCTGAAGCTGGTATCTTTTTTTGGTGCGGCTCCATATAGGAGGATATCAATCGCCACATGTAATTTTGACGCCCAGTTCCCTCCCTAGAGGGAGGCATCTGAACTCGGACGATGTGAACCTGTACTACGATATAATTTTGCCGAGAGCACTTAAGCCGAACGGACGCTATAGGAATCTTATACATGCCGTATAATCATGCGACATGGTCGCTGTCAATTTTTTGAATCATGAAATTCCAGACTTGGGTCGGGGTTGAACTCGCAACCTTGGGTGCAGAAGACCAGTGACACCCCAATCACGCCGACCAGCCGGCTAGAAAAAGCAGTGTTGCGCATGAGATTTCTGATTTATATTTAGAGGTTTACATCACGGAAGTAAAGAATGTCCTCTCTAAATTCCTTTCTCGATTTCTATGCTAAGGCATTGAAGTCTTTAAAAAAAACTTCGGTAGTTTTTCACGACGAATAGCATTCAACTATCGATAGAGTAGCTTGTATTCAATGCAGGAAAATTACAAATGAGTTACAATTGGGTAAATTATGAATAAATCTTTAGACATCGCATTTCGTTAACATCAAAAATTCCTGATCTCCTTCACAAAAATTGTTAAACTCTTGAAAGGGGAATTTTCACTTCTTTTTAAGTAATCTTCTAAATCGTTCCGTCACTTTGCTTTCTTTTTGCAAGCCTTTTCTTAGATGATTTAGATCATAGTTTCCCAAACTCTTTCGTGCAATGAACCACTTGCCATGTTTTCCGGTTTGGGGTAGACCCTTGATTACCTAATATTGAATTTTTGCAAATTCATCAACTTAAATCTTTTGAAGTAAGTGGGGCTCTATCAAAGATACGTTTAATTTTTTAACTACAGTGTAATGTGAAAAACTTGTTCGAAATTAACACGTGTTCTTTTCCTTATTTATTAAATTAAAATTTAGTAAAATGAGCAATAAAATAAACGTCCTCTCTATTGGAGGGACGAATCTGATGCTCTCTAACATATTTTCAGCATTTTGCATCGATTTGATTAAGTTAAATCCTAAATATCCTCTAGTGCTTTTTGTTGTGAAAATTAGCAACCACGCTGAACTTCCTTTTCACTAGGAAAAGCAATTAAAAACTTTCTCAGGATATTCCATAATTCGAGGTAGACAGATTTAAGTGTTTATATTTTAAAAAAATATTACGTAAGTAAATAGACAACACCCCTGCGTATGTGCAATATTTATTTCATTTATAGAAAGTTAAAATTACGAACTGGTTAAATGAGAGCCACAATCGTAGTCCCCCATTTGCACTTCATGGAACACAAATTTTTTCCCCTGTTGACGTTTCTTGCTTGCAGGCCGTTGCAGGGTCGATATAGACCACTTTGGAAATCACTCAGTTAGATAATCACATCAATGAGTCGTTGTATGTAAATGTGTGGTGTGACAAATTTCATTAAGATGTAATAATTGAAGAAATAACGAATTGAAATAAACACTCTGAAGAATTTAGACATTAAGACCTGATACAACTTTTATATGCTTTGTATTGTGATTCTTCACCAGAAGGACGCTGAAGTTTATGCAATAGATCCATACGTTTTGGTAGCCAAATTTAATGGAAATGATTATGGTAATAAATTTCTAAAATGTATCTTACGCATGCAATTTTTGCACGAGTTATTTTTAATTTATGAGTGCAATTTGCTCAAAATATTCTCTATTCATCTTTATATTTATAAATGTTGATAACAATCAACTTAAGAATTTACTGCATAATTTCAGAATATAAAATATTTGTATACCATTGATTTCTAATTTATACTTGTGTTCTTTTCAGAGTGTTATGCCAACGAAAACATTCGGACGAAACTACGCCCCTCCTCGTGGGGGTTGCAGTGTGAGCGGCACGCCCCCTTTATTCCTTAAATGCTCACTTCTCTTCAGTTCGTCAATTGTAGATGCCGTGCATCGACTTCTCGACTACTATGGCAGATGTGCCAAATCACAGTGCCAATGAACACCGTCCCTTAAGCTGGTAGCAGGCCGGTCAGAAATGACCATTCCACAGACCGCAGGCTCGGCCAAACTTCCTGGACCACAGGACGAAGGCTCGAAAGTCTAGCATCAGCTTCGTTTAGTTTCCGGTTTAGAATTTTAACTTGTTTGTTTCTACCAATTTTATAAATGTAGGCGATATTCTTCTGTGTAACATACGCGCACATTACGATAAGCTGCTTTTATTAATCTATGTAAATTAAAACATGATTTTATTGTTGATAATTAAATGTTCTCGTTTTGCGTCTGTATTTTAGTTTCGTTTAGTTCATTCATTAAAATATTAACATATCTTGGCACTCTAATATTTCATAAAATTTTCCTGCAAGTTTTACTACGGAAATATACTTTCTAAATAACTGCATGCATAGATTTGAAATTTAATGTTCACGCATCCAGCACATTAAATCCAACTTGGCGGCAAAGTTTTAGTGAGGCATCATCCGGAAATTCAGGAACTGAATTATTAAGTTAGGTCTCTGGAATAAAGTGGTGATGAAACTATAACACGCCTCAACGGTTCAATGTTTCGCTGAATGGCCGGGAAAGAACTATATCCTGTTAAGTGCTGTTAATTTAATTTAATTGATCGTATAACTTAGACAAACTGGAAAATGGGTAATGGAATAATTTTCTCTTAATAAAGCTATTTTGATACTACTGGTCTAATTTTTAAATTTTAATTATCGTATGATCCGGCGTATAAAGCGCACTTTCTTGCACAAATAAACAAAGATTGAGATTCATGCGTGCGCGTTATATGCCGAATATAAAATTGATTGCTTTAAAAATAAAGATTGGAGTTTATAAAAATATCAACATATACATTTAAATGTTTATTTCTAACTATCCACATATTCCGTCTTTTTAATTTTGCTTTGAACGGCTTGATACACATCTAAAGGCTGGATTGATGACTGCTTGGCATAACTGCCATATCTATGTTGAACTCGGTCAATAATTTCTTCGTATTCGTTAGAAGGGATATGAACATATCCCAAACTAAGACTTTAAAGCAAATGAAGGCATTCGCCTAACAATTTTTCTCCGCTACACAGTTTCGGTCCATCTTTCTCATATTCATGAAAGAAAATCTCTAGGGAAATTAAACTTCGAATTCAGTTTTCCTTCAAAAATAACAATGGGACTTAATTGTACCATATCAACAAAGCAGAAGAGCTTTGTTTTTATGGATAACCCTTTTTGTCGAAAGATATGAGTATTGCAGCGTGCAATTTCATACCCCCATCCTGTATAGAGATTTGTCACTTTAACTGCATTTCCACTCGGCGTGGTTTCGAATCCCGGAGAAGATACGGATGTTTGTAAATGTGTGGTGCCTTTGCGCATGGGAGCCGTCGAGCCGCAAATCCTTTCATGAGGTTGGTGGAAGGGGAAGAGATGGGAGGCCCCGAGTACACCCAGAGCGTTCTCTCTCAAAATTGGGGGTGTAACAGAGCTAAATCGTTAAGTCACTTGTATGGTGCTCAAAGCTACATCTAGCCCTTTGCAGCGATTATTTTTGTGGGCCTGACACCGTCAGACAGGTGGCATTAAAAACTATACAATTTTGTTTCTTTGCAAAAAAGGGCACGCGTTACATGGTGACTATGCCTAAAATTTAAATGTAGTCTAAATTATAGTTCCCCCGCTATACGCCGGAATATACGGTACGTTTTGATATGCCTTTGGATTTAGATATATAATGTAAAGGGTGTTTTTTTGAGAGGTATAGAACTTTAAATTGCAATAAAACAACGATGTATCATTCGATTGACGTGGATTTTTTTTATTTGAAAGATAATCTTGTGGCATTACATTTTAAATATGATTTCGGGCATAGGACTGTCACGGCTGTATCGGATGTAGTCCAATCTGAACGTCCAATTTTCGATGACTTTTTCCAACATTTGTGGCCATATATCGGCAATAATACGGCGAATGTTGTCTTCCAAATGGTCAAGCGTTTGTGGCTTATTCGCATAGACCAATGACTTTACATAGCCCCACAGAAAATAGTCTAGCGGTGTTAAATCACAAGATCTTGGAGGCCAATTCACAGGTCCAAAACGGGAAATTAGGCGGTCACCAAACGTGTCTTTCAATAAATAGATTGTGGCACGAGCTGTGCGACATGTTGCGCCATCTTGTTGGAACCACAGCTCCTGGACACCATGATTGTTCAATTCAGGAATGAAAAAGTTAGTAATCATAGCTCTATACCGATCACCATTGACTGTAACGTTGTGGCCTTCATCGTTTTTGAAGAAGTACGGACCAATGATTCCAGCAGCCCATAAAGCGCACCAAACAGTCGGTTTTTTTGGATGTAACGGTGTTTCGACATACACTTGTAAATTAACTTCACTCCAAATGCGGCAGTTTTGTTTGTTGACGTAGCCATTCAACCAGAAGTGCGCTTCATCGCTTAACAAAATTCGCTTATGAAAATCTGGAACGGCAATCTCGTTTTGGGCCCATTCGACGAATCTACGCCTTGCTTGATGATCGTTTTGATGAATTGCGAAACCAAACTGAGAATAAATCACTTGACAGCTGTTAAATCGGTCGCCATCTTGGAAAGTAATGCCAACTTTAAACTTCTATACCTGAGGAAAAAAAACTCTTTACAACTTCTTCAATCTTGAACCACGAACTGTTTACATTCCTCTAATTTTCATCCCACTTTAACTTCTGATATTTAAAAACTTCCTAATTTGTATCTTTCTTTCACATTTCACTTCTTGGATTTGTTTGGAAAAGAGTTGCCAATAATTCTGGCCCCAAAGAACCCAAAGGACAAGTTAAAGAAAAGACGCGTGAACCCGTCACAAATTCATTCATGAAATTAAAAAAAATGAATATATAAAAACAAACAAATAATATTCCAACACCATACATAAAAAGAAAATTCGCTCGTTGTGTCTCTGTAGCGCAATGGACAGCGCATTGGACTTCCTATCCAAAGGTCGTCGATTCGAATCCTACCTGGGATGGTCTAATTTCTGAGAATGTGATTTATGAATGAATAAATAGTAACAAAACCAAAAATAATAGTCCAACACCGTATATAGAAAAGAAAATCGCTTACTATTCTGCCACTTAATATTGGGATTCTTTCGTATGAATATACATATTTATATATTAATTATAATTATATAATAGAAAGTATAACCAAAATTTTTCTTTGTTGACCTAAGAAGGAATTGACTAAAAATATTTTTTTTACATTACTTGTTTTATTTAAGACAAGATTGCGTGCTTTAAAAATCTTTTAGGTCATTTCTAAAAATAGAAGATGACGGGAATTCACATATTCTCCATAAATTGAAATAAAGCAGCCTAACAATATATATCGTTCAACAAAATTATTTTAGCTGCAATACCATACACGTATTAGTTTTTGAAATGGAGCATTCTACTTATTAAATGCTTCATATCTCTTTAATCCTATATCTCTCTCTTTAATCTTAATTTCTTGGTAATATCTAATTCCTGCTAAATGTTAAATTTAAATGAATTCGATAAAATTTATTCAAATATGTTGTGTCTTATATTTAGACATACTATCCGGGTGGCGTAGTTGGTTTGGCTCTGGCCTTGTACGCCCAAGTTTGTGGGTTCGACCCCGGCCCAAGCAATTGGATTTTCGTGATGTTGAAAATTGTCAAAGTCATATGATAATGCGACATGTTAAAGCTCTTGTGCCTGTTTGGCTTAGTTATTCTCGGCAAAATTGAATTCCTAGTATACTTTCTCATGGCCAGAGCTCAGGTGTCTCTCTCTGGGGAGGAAACTGAACAAAATTACTTGTGGTGATTAGTATACCACCTATACACACATCGTGCCACAGATAGAGATACAAGCTTCCGAGGAATGTGTTAGGTATGCGATTGTAAAATACAAATCCGTTGCTCCATTAGAAATAAAATAATGATAATTGTTATGAATAAGTATAAGAATCAATTTAGAATTAGAATAATGAATATAGAATTAGAATCAATCATGTTAATTGGATGCCAATGTATTTCGACTTACCGCGAACTTGCTTCCATGCTGGACTCCCTAAAAACATTTTTTATAGAAGCTTGAGGAAAAAATAATTGGTTACGATGAGTCATTGAGAAACACGCAAAGAATTTTTCCAGTCTATATTTTACAAAAAACACACAAGCACACCATTACATGTAGGAAAACATTGCACAACACAATCGCAACAAAAACGATGCTTCCATCACACACGATTACGAATCGAATCGAATGGCATTTTTCCCGCCAATAACAAATGCTTCTAGAATAAAAAAAGTCCCAGTTCGTGGCGCCATCTTTGGACGGCGAAAGGAGTCAACTGTTCTTAACAATAATAATAATACTTTTTTGTAATATAATTATCAAAGAAATTTTTTTTGAAAAGATCAGATAAAAGTGGTTTAATCTCATATCAGATATATTAATTACTTTTTCAAATTTTTCTACAGTTGAATTCTCTTTGCATACACAATATACAGTGGATCTAAAGAGTGTTTGTACACTTGCAATTTTCTATAATGTTTTTGACTAATAAAAATAAATAAACCGGAATTGCAATTTTTTAAAATAATATCTGCGATTTGTTCTTATTGGAATAATATAATCAATTTTTAAAACATAGTGTAACTTTTATTGTGAAAAATTAATAAACAAAAAATACTAAAAAATTACGCCAAAAAAGTATTTGTACACTTAAAAAAATCTCAATATATAGTTTTAACTATGCGGGCGTATAACAGTTTGTAGATTGAAAAGGAGGAAAGTCTCGAGAATTTAATTTGAACCGTGAAGCATGGAATTATAGATATTTTTGTGTGGGAGTGTAAATCGGCTTCTGTATTAGGTAATTTGGTATATTTTGATGTTATTGTGAATCAAAGCTTTATTTAAATATTTCAAGGAATAATATGAAATTATGCACCCAAAATTTCGGCATTGGAAACGACTTCAATTTTCAACAAAATAATATCCCCCAGGCTCACTATACTCAAAAGTATACTACTGGTGTCTCTATAACTGCCCCAAAGTTTTTTGAAAAAACCTCCTGAATTATATGATTTATATATATATATATATATAAGCCCCAGTTGAACACATAAAAGAATAAAAATGTTTTAAAATCAAAAGTTTCGTAGAACGTTTACCATTCTATTTCAATTAACGAACTCGTATTAGCTTCAATAAAAAAAAAGCTTGCATAAAATACATATTTCTTTCATCTACTCAGTATTTTCAAGGTATTATACAATAGCATATTTTATATAATAATCTTATTTTTAATTTAATATAGAAAGCCGCTTGAATTTCGCATTATGCCTTTGATAAAACTTAGGCTTATTAATGAATTCATTGTTTTATTCCAGTTATAGAGTTCAAGTAAGTATGTTGTTTATTTGCGTTATTGGATTACATATATATAAATGTGAGAATATTTTGAAAGATTTTAAATACTTGTTAAAGCATTGTATAGCTTGTAAAGTTATTGTAAAAGTTAAATAAAGTTATATACTTTACAATAGAACCCCTTTAAGTTAGTATTTAAGTTAACTGAGAAATCAATTTTTTTATTATAAAACTTTCTGTGTGAATCATGAAGCTGAAATTTCATTCCTTTTAAGCATTTCAAATTAAGTGCAACATATACAATTACTGATTTTGTTTTGTGCATCTGTAAATTATTGAAAAAAAGGGGAGACCCAGTATTTTTTAAGATATATATTTACTATATATCAAACACACAAAAATACAAAAATACACAATGATGAAATTACATATCTATGTACGTAAATATAACAAAAAACAAAAAACAAAAACATAACACACACAAAAAAACATAACACACACAAAAACATAACACACAAAAACAACACACACAAAAACACTTTTACAGAACACACAAAAAAACAAACAAAACATAACAAAACACACTAAATACACAAAAAAAACATAACACACACAAATAAAAACACAAAATACACAAGAAAACACACAAAATAATACAATTCAATTGTAATAATACACATACATTTAAAAATAGCACTAAAAATACTTTGACACAAAGTACACAAAATAAAAAAAACAAAAAACATTTACAAGTTTTTTAAGATTCAAGGTATTTTTAAAATTTAAGGTATTTGTGAAATTTAAGGTATTTGTGAAATTTAAGGTATTTTTGTGAAATTTGAGTTTTTTTAAAATTTAAGGTATTTTTGTAATTTAAGTGTTTTTGTAATTTAAGTATTTTTGAAATTTAAGGTATTTTTACAATTTAAGATTTTTTGTTTTATGGTTATTTTGTGCATTATTTTTTTAAAGTTTTTATTTTCTTAAAGCTTTTTTTGTCCTTTATCAAATTATTTGGTTTTTGTTTCATTTTTCAACATATCTTGTGCTTTTTTTGAAATCCTACTTGTGCAGGCGTGGTATGATGCTGGGTATTGGGAGACTTGCTAATTGATGATTGGATATTACTTTCAAAATGCTTCTACTTCACACAGGAGGTTGAAACTTCTGTATAGGATATTTCTTTTTTGGGTAGGAGGGTTCAATTTGGATGAATTTGGTTGGTATTTTTTTTCTTTAAATCTTGATCTGGTGGGTGCTTCTTTTTTTACTCTTTCCTTTATCTATTGTTCAATCTGAAATATTTAAGCGGATAATTTTTTTTTTAAATTAGCAATTTTCTCTGAAACTTTTCTTTGCCTTCAATATTCTTTCCTTTTCATCTTCCATCAATTTTTCTATTAATCTGTCTAAGCTTATTGTATGCTTGTAACGTTCTTGGAATTTTGAATCCTCCTCCGTGGTATGGCCTTTTGCTTCTGGATCCCCATCTCCCAGTTGTTTTTCGTGTTTCTTGGTGTTTATCTCGTGGAATCCATCAAGCAGTAGTAAAATAGGCGGTAGAAGCAGAATGTCCCAGCAATTCAAGAATAGAAATCGGATGGTGAACCACACCCATACATGCAGGATAAATTTATCTATAGAGTCTTGGTTCATTTTACTATGGGAAACCGGGTTTTTTTGAAGAATTTTGATCCGCAATTTAATACAACGTTGAAAATTTAAAACAGAGGCCGAATGATGTCGTAAATTTTGAAGGCGGAAATTCAAAGAAGTCGGATAGTGTGGAAACTGAAGAGCCAGAAATTTATTGCAGAAATCAGATAATTTTGTAAATTTCGGAGGGGTGGACGTTTAAAGAAGAACTCGGATAATTTCGCAAATAAGAGGCAGAAACTCAAATCAGAAATCAGTTGATATGGAGCAGGTATTGAAAACCAAGCGTACACTTCAAATGTAATTTACATTCTGAAATTAAAAAGCTGTTGAAGATGTATGTAACAATGCTCATTTTAAACAATTCTGAGTGACAATGATAGTGAAGTGTGGAAAATCTTAACAAATGATTGATTCTTAAAACCCATTATTGAATTAAATGTATATATATATATATATACACTGCTGGACAATTGCTAAGGACGGATCACAAATTGCTATGTAGCATAACATTAACCGAGACATGAGGCCTAGTAGGGTAAAATATAGTTGCCACACTGTTCAGACATTAGAATAAAGAATATTTATTTTCTGGAAAGTACAAAAGCTGTGAAACATCTGAAAGAGAGAAAAAATGTTCATTTGATCTGCGTACGGAGAAATGGAACAATGCATCTAAAAGTCAGCAGGCACCTTAAAGAAAGGTATCAGTACGGGATATGTCCACCGTGGAGTGTGATGCAACATTCCACGTCGTACCATACTTTTGCACAACATTATCCAGCAGCTGTTGAGGCAATTTATCCATTCCTCTGTGAGTGCACGGATAAGGGTGTTCTTGTTTGTCGGAGGATAGTTTCGACCAGCAACTTGCCTCCCCCAAAGCATCCCACACATTTTCAATGGGGTTTAGATCTGGAGAACGCGCTGGCCATACGAGACGTTGAATATCGCTGTCTGAGACAAT